AATTAAACTCCATCCAACCACCAACCAATGATCGAATTTCTCGAGCAATTTCATTTCAAACTCACTTGATTATCTTACCACCACATCGAAATGATTTGCTCCGGTCGAAGTCGCACACACTCTCGCGGGTCACAAAGGATCCGGCGCGTGTCAGCGGGCGAATCACGGTCTATATGGGATATAGGCATGGTTGGGAAGCGTGGATGATCCGAGCAGAAGCTTCACGATGCGTAAGAAAAGACGAAAATTAAGTCGTCGATCCTACCATTCTTTTCCACCCCCACCCCCTCGATATTCCATCCGGGCCCACTAATAGAGCACTCTTTTCCTTGTCGGGGCAAACTATCAGCGGTGTTGACCCCACGCCCGGCCGGATAATCGACTGAAAATAACCCCAAGAGACACGGGGACCCCCCCTGATTCTCCCCTCAATCCAGCCTCCCGAGCACAAAGTCGGTGCATCTGTTCCGTTGTTCCGTGAAAGGAACGAATGACTCCGACAATTAGAGAATCCCGGCGAACCTTCTTCTTTTCTTGCTCACGCGATCGCCACGAGATTGCGCCGCCTCTGCGACCATGGGGTCCGGGAATCGGGCAGATTAAATCGGTCGGAGGAACGATTACGTCGCGTCTGGACGGAAATAATACGCGGGGGGGTCGACTCTCGCTCGCTCTCCAAAGAATCCGGATCTCTTTTGAATTTTCTTTCTCGATTGGCTCGAAGCTTGGATCCCTCCCCGAGATCAATGTACAGCGGAGAATGATGAGAAATTACGTGGATTCATCTGGAACAAAAATTCGTCGTCATACGTTAATAAAAAACGAATTATATTATATTAATTCTGCTGATATAATATTTTATTTTAAATATTTCAAATTTCTATTATGAACGCATCGTGATAAGTAAAGACAATAATTGAGTTAAATTTTAAATTAACTCTATCCTAAAAAATAAAAAAGAAAAAATCGTATCTTTCCTAATAGTTTCTTTCCCAAGGAAGGGGCACGCTATCGATCCGCTATCATCGCTCAAGGGTTGGATATATATTCGATTCGGTGATGCGTTGTTGCCCGGGACACTTGTAATTAAAGGCGGTATTAAGTGGGCTTTGACGTGCGCAGAGAGTTAACCCTGGCACAATGGCCGGTGGACGTAAACAACGGAGGAGACCGGGCTTTGTCGTCTAATTCGCGAACGACACGGTGGACGGGCAATGGCCGTGACAAAAGACACATTTAGCTAAATGCAACGCGCGAGCCCGTGTCCCGCATTGTTTTCATCCGGTTTGAGTGGGTACAATTAGATCACGCTGCCGGGGGTGTTGTAGTAGTATTTTCCTACTCCCCGTTCCTCCCTCTATCGGCCAACGGCGCCCCCGATTGGCCTCGCAGGGCAACGCCGATACCATTTAACCAGCGCCGTGTCGTGAATCTTTTTTCTTCGTCGATCTGATGACCACCTCCATGCAAGTTGGAAGAGAATAGAAAGTTCTTTTCCTCCTTCTGCCTTTTCTTCTTCCTCTTCTTCTTTTTCTTCTTCTTCTTCTTCGCCTTTCGTTTCTTTGACCTAGGAGACTTCTTTCCAGAGAGAAGAAGAGACGAAACGAACTGTCTTGACCGTGGGGAACGTGGCCAGATTTATTCGAGTGCTAAGGGCACTGGAGCTAAACCTCTTGGTCTACTTTAACGTGGTGGTCGATTCTTTTTCCCAATTCTTCGGGATCGAGGCTTGCCAACGGGGCAAGATCCCTTTCACGATTCCCTCTTCCCGATTTCGTTTCGCAAAACGAACCTTTACCGGCCGTAAAACCGTATCCGTCCCTTGTGCAATAATCTCGACGAGATATATATATATCTGAAAGGAGGAGACCCGGTGTCGAGACTGGGTGGAAATAGCGAAGAAGGAATTCGAATCGTGCAACGGTGCTAATCCGATTAGCCGATCGCCTCCGAATGCGTCCCGTAGCCCGTAACCAGTGTGGAGAAGGCCAGTGTGAAAGTGCTAAACGAGCAATAAGAAAGTAATGGGAGAGCGGTCAAAGCGAGAAGGCATAGAGGCAACCCCCTGCCCCCTCCCCTTTCCTCTCCTCTTTTCGAGAGGCATCATGGGCGGCCTGCTCTTCCGCGAATCAACGGTCTAGGGGTTGGAGGGGGTTGGAAGGAGAGCCTTCCGCCGCGGTACCGGGCGCAATTACGGATTTTGAGTGACAGATGCTCGCCCAGTCGGCAGTCGGAAGATTAAAACAAGTAATCAAAGCCCCAGTAGCCACCCCGGGATGGATATGGATGGATGCATCCCTCTGCCTCCACTGGGTACAACCCCACTCTTCCTCCCTCTCTCTCTTTCTCTCTTTCTCTTTTTCCCTCTTTCTCTCCTCGTTTCGTTGGCGCGGCCACGTTTTCTCCTCCTTCCTTCTCTCTCTTCTTCCTAGGCAGAGGATAACTCTCCTCCTCCTCCTCCTCCTCCTCCTCTCTCCTCCCCCAGCTACTATAATATCCACCTATCAAGCCGCGCTCTGAATGCTCCTTTAAGAAAATGTTCCTTTTTCGCGAGGCAGTCCTTCAGCTGGGAGGTTATTAGACGGCTCCTACCCCCGGCGGGGGTAAAAAACGAGTGGCTCGGCTGAGAGAGAGAGGGAGGGGGAGGGAGAGGAAGGGCGAGAAAAGGAGGATGCGTTCAAACGACGGAGCGAGGTCTATTTCAGCGAGAAACGATAGAGGATGGGCCCCTTTGACGCGCGCGTTCGCTCGCTTCGATCGCTCGGACGACAATAAACGGGCCGGGTTGGATAGTCGACCGCCTTTCCTTTCTTATTCTTCGTCTTATTCTATTCGTCCCGCTTACAACTAGGCGAGACTATGGTCGCTATGGTTCGTGGCTAGGCTAACGAAGTTAAAACGATTTGCCGGTTATTGTTATCCGCGGGGGAAGAGTGATCGATAGATATTCTCGAGAGCGAGTTTGTGTGCAACGTAGGACATCTTTGACACCGATGGATTTATCGGGATAGATATAAAGATATTTTATGCCATCCGAACATTTGATATCTCTATCGATAGGATGATTTATTTAATTATTTATTTAACGAGTTGAAAAATCCGTACTACCACGATAAATAATTGCTTGAGAAAGATTTATTTTCGTTCCTACCTTTTTTTTTTTTTTTTACTTCAAGTATTATTCCGTATGTAAATATAAAAAAGAAAAAAAGTTGTATGTTGTTGTTGCTTTAAGACAAAATAAAATGCGCGTATTATTTTTTTATTATATTAAAAGAAAAAAATATTTAGTTCTCTCTCTTGATTTCATATACATA